CAGTAAAAGTATTAAGCTGCCCACTTTTGAACTGGTGCTTGGTTGTAATAACTAATAATCAATAGCTTCTAATCTGTAGGCTTCTTTTTTATGAACAATTTAGCCATTCTTACAGCTGAAGAGAAGCTGTTTCGAAGAAAAGCGATGTTTGTCACGACACTTAACTGGAGTGTATTGGCCATTAGGCTTAATACTTTCCTAAGTCAAATGAAACCGAAGCAAAAACTATTTGATAAAACGTATCTATTTGGTCTGCAGGACTGAACAGAGTAATTTCTATACAGAAGTAAATAACATTGCAATTGACTGACCGAATTATTACAACTACACAAAAGGGATTAAAAGTTTTTACCTAATGAGACAGATTTTATTGTTCTAGTGTTGCACTTAATGATAGATTGGATTCTTTGGACAATTTTAATAAAAATGGGTCTTAAGAGCAAATATATGGAAGGAATATTGAAGCTAAAAAAATAAATGTTTTGCAACAGATTGACATTAGAAGACTGTTAAACTGATTTCTTATTATATGGGTTATTTAAATTGAGATAGTTTTCTGCTAACTGGCATTAATAATAGAAAGTTTAGTAGACATGATATATTGCTGATTTACATTAGTAGCTTCATTTCTGATAGAATGAATAATAATTCTGGGCCTTTTTAGAGAGTTACTTCTTATCAGCAAACGTTTGATTATGTTTTTTCATCAATTCAGCCGATCTGATAAAAATCAGGCTGAGCAACACACATATTTAGTTTATTCTCATAATATTCCATTTTTTAAAATGGCAGTGTTAAAACACCAGTATTTGATAAATTTAGTCACTCAGTTTATGCTTCTATATATTTATGAGACGAAATGAACGACTAGGCTTGATGTCACTATTGATGTATCTTATGAACCGATGTAATATAAATCAACTTAACTGTTTATCTACTTCAGAAATGACAAGACCTGTTATGAATAGATGTCAGATGTTTGATCACACGTACTACTAAAACAAAAGACAATTTGTTTTACAGTAAGAAAATATCAATACAAGGTAACTAGTTTTGCTACGTTAAAAATCGGATTTATGTATCTGAACTAACTATTAATTCTAACAATATGAGGAAAAAGAATGTTCCAAGCTTTCCAAGTATTGTGGTCCAATGAAAATATATGAAATTATCAATGATCAAGTTTTGACTACTGGTGTTATATAGTTACAGTAAATTCAGCGCTTTACAAATTTTTGACAACTTAATATGAGACGCCATTTATTTAATAAACATACGCTAGTCTTGAATATATAAAACAATTGAGTTCATAAGCCACCTATTAGATCCAATATTGATTCATGTTACTTAGTACACACCGAAATGGACTAAGTGCTCGGCAGATTTGAGTTAGAAATAATTATATATTCTTTTCAAATCACACGGATCTGTTCAGATTAACTGGAAGCAACTCAGTTATTTCTATATAATTACGACAGTAAAACAGTAAGTTTCTTTAGTGTTATTATATTTATTGAAACATATGAATTTCAATGCTTCATTGACATAAATTATACTTATGAGATTTAATAAATGAGATAGAATAAATGAAAACAAAACTGATTTGTATTTGGAAATGGCCAAATAAAGACTTTTTTTGGAAAGTTGGGTTAAATTTTTTAAAGAACTCTAAGTATACACCTCACACTTTATTGAATTGTATAAATAGTTAGTTTTATTTCACAATTACAAAACTCCGCTAGTTTTGTAACCAAAGTAAGGATTGAAGATGAACTAGTGAAAAAGAAATATAAAAGCGTTTTATGTATGAAAATGCATGAAGACAAATAAGTTTGAGAAATTTAAGTAACAGTTCATTTTAAATTGTTGTATGTGGTTTATTAATCAAAGATGAGATAACTCAAATAACATGACTCATAACGACGTGTGCTATAATATCAGCAATGTATTTCATCAAAATATAAAAGAAAATTCATCTTCACTACGTGAGTTAAATACATTTGATGTCGATGATTCTGATGTATAAAGAGGACTAAAATTTGCCTCTACAAAACCTTGACTACAATATTTATTTAGGCTTGGTTTCCTTGCGTTAAATCTGCGTGAGTGTACTGAATTAATGTCAGAATCAGGGCAATACTTAACTGTTTCACATGTTTTCCAGCTACCTTTTGAATATATGAACTGTTTTCTTTTCTCTGATAGTCTACAGAAACAGTAAAATTCAACAAAAAATATCACATTGAGAACTGTAGTAAAAATCAAATAAAAGCTTCGGAATCTATAATTTCGTAGTAAAATTTTAAGTCTATTTATTGATACTAAAATCCTCATAAGGTGATTTCCTCCGGTTCATTGAAGTCTATATTATAATCTCGTTTTATTTTGGACAAAACAGCATTCTAGTAAATAGTCCTTTATCTGCAGTCTTATATGTGCTATTAATTCTTAAGCAATAAAGTATTTACTTTGGTTATTAGGTTACCAGCACTTATAACTGAGTATCAGATCCCAAGGAAATCCAAAGACTTGTTGTTCTCGTTCTAAGTTTTGAAAAAAATAATTTTTAGACAATTATAAAGGTGACGATAAATTGAAAGGATCAATAACAAACTTAAAAGTCGTTCATTTTGAATGAAGACAGTATCACGAAATAAATGTCGACCAGATTTACTAGCACAGATAATAAGTTGTTAGCTTTATATGGTAATGTGCATTGATAAACAGGTATTAGTTACCTTTATAATTCAAAATTTATACAAAGACATTAAAATATATTTCACATTCATGTTAACTTAAGTGATAATATTCTCTGAGAAACATCAAGTCACAAGGTTTATGGGTTAACAGATTTATTACTAAACTGCAGTTACCGGACTTTCTGTTGAAATTTTATCATATTGTCTATACCTAATTTTATTTACTACTTTTCACACTCCCATTATTTGTATTTTAATACCTTCTAACTTTTATGAGTAATTTGAATCTGAGCAAAAGAAATTATGAATCTTTCAATTTCTGACCATTTACGGTAGTCTGGATTTTCTAGAATTTCACAGCAGAATAGTCATCACTAAACGTTCAAACCAGTGAGTATTGACCTCAAAAAACGTGATGAAACTTGTTTAGTTGGTCAACAACATTTAAGTTAGTCCAGAAAGATGTTTTCAAAATTGAGTTTGCAAAAACATATGACTTTGAAAGAGCAAAATGTTAATACCTTGAATTTAACGAATTTATGATTTAAAAAAATATGAGCAATTCAAATTGTCATTAACTAATTGATTTGAAAAGTAAATCCGCTTAATGTTTTAGGGCTACCAAATGAATTATGGTTATAAACACTATTAATACTAAAAGATTTATTTTCTTGATAAGATTTTCCAGGGATTTTCTATTCTGAAAGATAGTGCTTTTATTCGGTGATTGAAAGTCAACTTGAAAAAAATTTCGGGTTTATAATAAGATTTTATCAGCAGCTTTCTGGAAATATGTGTTTTCTATTAACGGTAACTCAGATTCAGTGTTCAAATTTCTTTATCAAGCGCTAAATGATACTCTTGGGTTTCCTGTAAATTAACGACTCAATATTATTATTATTATTATTAATATAATTACCTTTCCAGGTCCCTGTGACTTGAACTAATTGAGAACTAAAATGCGAATTATCGGCTTCTGTTGAGGTAATCGTCACTTGGAACAACTTGTAGTAACAATTGAATGCAAGAAATAACTTACGGTTGATCATTCACAGACATTACTAATGGTGTTCGTTTTTTGAGTTAACAGCTTGCAGAAACTGAGTCCTAATAAATGTATTCAGCTCAAAAATGTATTCAGTACTCTTAACCGAGAGACGATGAATACTGAATTAAAATGGTAGTAAATCATTGCCCGTATATGTGCGAAAGTTCTACCGGGTAATATCATCAATAAATTAAACCTCCAAGTAAGTTTCACGCTTAATTTTCAAACCCTTTATTATATACAGAATATTATAGTTAGGATACTGAATGAATGGTCTTACGGAATCTAGCATTCCAACCAAGTATAAATAACACATTAAGTAAGTGTTCACAATTTTACGTAGCTTTGTCAGCATTTTTGTTTTTTGTGCCACTAAAATATGATCCATTGTGAGGTTACATTGAATCCTATTAGCTGTAAAAAAAATTGTGAGATAAAACACAAAATCACGTTTGGATTCTGTATGACGTTTGTTCAGTATAACATTCGGTAACATAATTCCATCGTAAAATCTTGTTGTGTTTTCACTATTTCAGCGATACGTAGTATTCCTTGACTAGACAACAAAACATATATATGAATAAGACTATTTGTTTAACAGGTTCTAGTTGTAACACAATTTTGTGTTGTTTGTTTGAATCTTCCCGTTGATGTTTAGGACTGCAAGTACATCCAGCTGATGAGTCCCAAGTAGGATGAAACGTGAGTCCTGGTTTCCACTGCCAGCCACCGTACATCTCCGCTTATAAGGTTTCTATTGTGTTTTTGATTTTATCATTGTCTTTCGTAAATCTCAGCTTCTCACTGCTTCTTATCCAGTTCTCACAGTTATGATCATACCCCTTAAACATGTTAATGGTTCACTAAAATCATGAGATCTGCAGACAACGCGCCGACATTTAAATAAGAAGGTACAAGGTTCAAGAAAGTGAACACTACCATTGTAACTACGGTACATTCAACTACCGAATTCTTAAAAGAACGAAATGTACGTCACAAAATCTAATACTAACCAAAATCTACCAACCTTAAAAAGATTTTAAAACATTTTAAATTTTTATCAATACTTGAAAAATCCATATATTTTAAGTTATTTACTTTACTTTATTTCCTAAACTGATAACATTTTTCAATTATTTAAGTAGTAGCTTTGCCAAGTTAAATACGTTTTCTGCCTATTTTAAACTTCACTACTCTGATTCAGATGTATTAAAAACACGAAGAGCAACTGGATTATGGCTCTTGTAACTTACCCACACTTGGAACTCATAGGTTGCTTTGAGGTTGGTCGATAAATAGGATATGATGACCTTGGAGCTGATTCATCTGAAGACTCATAGTCTAACAAACTATGGCTCATATTGTTCTCTATATGGCATGTTGATAATAAACCATACGGTTTACATGCTTTCAATTTATCTGAAGAATAGTTTGATGGCGAAGATGTTGCATGTGATTTTGTATGTTGATTATTACATTCATATTTCAAGCTAGACACAGTATTGTTCATTCTGTAACATGGTTGCTGTAACACAGCTTTTTCACTATAACAACTGGAGTTATGCCAGTCTTCACCTGATGGTACAGTAGTTGTTGTGGAATGACCAACCAGACCAGGAATGAACTCCAAAGGAAGCATGCTTTTTGGACCATGAGAACGCGAATCAATTTGAACTAGACCCATTCGGTACCCCATAAGCTGTCTTTCTAACTCATCCTTTTCTTTAGTGATTCTTATTAGTTCATTTCTGGTAAAATTAATAAAATTAAAAAAAACCTATGATTAATGGATTAGTACCTTAAAATATCTTTCAGCCTTTAAATGTCAACACGCTGATGAATCTCTTTTTCGTTTATAATTGATCACACATCCTAGTTCTCACTTACGTTTAATATTGCAAATACTAGTTTAGAGGGATATTTTGTGTTATCCATTAGTAATTGACGGCTAATTAAAAGAATGTAGGTGAAGGAGAGTTTAAACTGTATGTTCAGAGGCCAAACGTCTAGCCTTCGAAACACAGAGCATCGGCTGTTATAATGAATACCACTTCAGAGACTAATACTGTAAAAAAGCATGTTCATTTAGGTTCCCTCACCCAGATTTCATTTAGTAAGATCATGATACTGATTCAATGGAAAAATTACTATTTTTTAAAAATATAGATAACAAATATAAGTTTCACAGTAATAAATTAATAAACAGTTGATAGATTCCATATTATATTGGTTTAATGCTCTCTGTATCTTGTTTGTTATATTTGAAAACTTTGGAAAAACTTTTGTAAATAAAATTTATCTTCAACTCAAATGTAGAACAATTACTGACAGAACAAACATTCCCTTCCACAAATGTTAGTTTGATCTATTTATTACGTCATGTGGAGCGATAAAGTTGGGACAGAATTAGTTAATTGTCCGGGCTAATCCGCAGATAAACCCCAGCCCATAATGACTTTCTTCCGTCCCTTTCGTTATCGTCGTTAGGTTAAGCAAAAAAATAAAATATCATTTAGGCTGTAGATGATAACTGGCAAAAGGCAATCGAAAACGGTGAGTCAGATGAATTTAAAATATATTGTATTACAACGTACGAATGACAAAAGGTATGCGTCACAAAGACTTTTATTGGCTAACGAAGTCGCAGATCGCACATGATAATATATGTTTTCACACTAACTTTATAGTTTCAGGAGTACTATTGGTTTGTAGTACTGAGATTTATACACTGTTAGTAAATTGTCCTGTCTTGGATAAACCCATCAAATTATCCTTTAATCGTAATAATTGGAAAATACATGAAAAATGTTACACTGTCTGAAATTTTAAACCTTTTATAGATCTGAATTAGATATTACTTATGTTCAGTAATTTTATCACTTTGGAAGCTACAAACATGAAATTAAACCGTTCAATGTCTCTCTACCCATCGTATCCATGGTAATCTTACAAAGAAAAGGTCAAATATGGATGGACTCAAACTATATTAAAATTGTTCACGGATTATTTCTTAGTTGTTTGCAACAAAAAACGTTTTTCTTTTCGAAATCCCCGTATTTATATTTATCACTGTAAATTTTTATTTTCATAATATACTTCTCATTATTCGTATAAAAGCACAGTATGAAACAAATATTTTTAATCAGATTTTTCAAAAAAGGTTCGTTTTCCCACGTATGTACCACGCCTTAAATAAGTTTCAATCCCTTTTTTGAAAAAAAGTTTTTAATTCATCTAGTAACATCTCAATGGCTTGTAATGCTTAGCAATAAAAACTAAATTTTATTTGTCGCTAAGGCGTTTTTAATTTAAAATATATTTTCAGACACGTTTCGCATCTCTGAATGCTTTTGTTTTGACTGGTTTACATTAGTAAATTTTGTTCATCAGTACCTCTTAGTTTCTCTAGTCGTCATTTTAATAAATCTAATCTTGGAGATTTTACTGCTGAAGTACGTAAACTAAACCAAACCGAAAGGCACTTATACAGTTCTTACGGTGTCGCTCCTCAGATAACACCGACCGTCTGTCGCGGCTATGCTCATAGAACTTTATTTTTGGTAGACACTAACTTTGAACATAAGGAGAAACATTGTCCGACGTGACAACATCCACAATCGACCCATCGATGGATTCAAATAGCTATAATTAGAGAGGCTCGATACAAGGCACACATATTTGTCTTTGTTTTGCTGAACGTAGAAAACCGCGGCAAGATAACCCCATACAGTTCAGTTTCATTATGAAAAAGTTAAGAATATATTTCACGAACAACTAGAGAAGGAGTTAATCAACTTTAAATGTGATATCCACCCTAAGGTAGCTTGGAACGATATCCGAAACGTTGTGGACACAGTAATGACATCCACTAGTAACTTGAATCACTAGGTTAGAAAAAATCAGTGAATTTCAGCTCCGTCTACAAACCTGACAGATGCTTGGAAACTCATTACATTTGGTTCTGAACATGATTTGGAGCGAAGGCAGCTTTGACGTAAGTTTATAAAAAGCCTACCTAATGATCGTGAGTAGTGGTGGGTAGCAAAAGCGGAAGAGATGAAAAAGACAGCAGTGGGTGACAGTAGATTACTGTCCAGACTTATCAAAGAAACGTGTATTAAAGATCCGGCAGGACTATTATCAACTCTCGATCCAGGAGATTGAACCGATTGGCAAAACACTAGGGGAATGGCCTTTAGCGGTAATTCAGTAACCTGCTATCTCCAAGTAACCTGAAGGCAAACTGATGTAAGTGCTTGAAATCTTAATGAGGTTGATAAGGTTATTGGTAATCTAAGTGATGGATAGCACCAGGGCCTAATTGACTAACACCCGAGATTTTTAAGGTTGGTGGTCCAGTTTTAGCAGTTCCACTAATTGAAATCTTAGTTAAAATCTGGTAACTGGATATAATCCCATCTAACTGGTTTCAATCACCGATCGTCCCAGTTTATAAGAAAGGACAAAAATTTCCTTGTAACAATCTCAAAGTAATCAGTTTAATCGATACGGTATCTAAAATATTAGCCTCAGTAACGATTCGGCTTTTAAATAGAGTTAGTGAAGAGCAAATACAAGAAAACAGGATGTTTGCAGACCTGAACATGGATGTATGAACCAAATATTCGCCCTTCGGCAGATTCTGTAGCAGAAATAATTTTGGAATTCTGATTATGGTCGTATCCCTTGGCCCTAAAGCGGCTTCGACTCCGTTGATTGTGGGGTTGTGTGGCAGTCTGTCATTAAAAGGCGTATCAAAGAAGTACATCAATCTTGTACAGACTCTCCACTCGGTCACTTGTGATCGGGTCAAAGTTTATGGCTTACTGTCATTTTCATTTAACTTTATCATAGACATATTCTTAAAGGTAACTCTATCATTGTGACCTTTCAGAGACCGATCTCCTACTAGGAGATTCAGTTGTTGACTTAAGGTAAGCAGAGGATACAATTTCGCTTGGTGAAGCCGCTGGCAAAATGCAGTCGTCTGACCAACCTAAACAACAATGCAAGCACGTTTGGAGCGCGGTTCTCTCTCGGGATGCAAAATGTTACCTCAGGATTAGTTTGCACCAGCGCCCGAATTAGAGATAGGGGTGGAGTAGTTGAACGTACTGACCGCTTCACTGTACTTGGGAGTCTGACGGTTTTGTGCCTGACGAGATCTCAGCACAAATTCAGAAAGCTTGTTCGGCTTTTGCCAATTTGGGTCATTTATGGCGTAAGCGAGATATCCGCCTGCCAACCACAGAGTGAGTTTACTGCGTAGCAGTTCGCTCTCTTACTTTTTGAATGTGAAACATGGGCATTAAGAGTAGAGGATATTTGTAGACCACTGGTATTCTGATATAGGTTTTGCCGAAGCACTGCTCGTGTATTTTGGGACCATAGATTGAGCAAGGCCTGAGTTAGTAACAGAGAAAGATAAGAAGTCGACTGATGAAGTGGTATATCTCCATCAACTTCGGTGGTTGGGAGATGTGTTACGTATGTCTGACCACCGCCTACCTCGAGGGACGATGATTTTCAGTGGGCTGAAAGAAAGCCAGGAGCGGCCAAACCAAGACATGGCATCATTCCATGTAGTTACTGATAAGTGAACTTATTCATGTTAATAGGTGTAGACTACCTGGTTGGGGTGCGTGTGATTATCACAACCTGTGTTTAAAGACTTTGAATGACATGAATCAAAATCGTTTTCAGCGGCTCATGCGTAGTCATTATTTGTCTTCCTGAGATTCTTAATTCCTCGCAACTTTATCTGTTTTTATTTCGCTAATTGATATTTTATTTCCGAGTCCTGTCTTAGATATTGTTTCCTATTGCTACTAACACTGTTACTATCTCCGATATTCTGGAAAGTAGCTTGACAACTTTATTTCTATGTGCTAATGATGTATGACAACTTGACCGATTTACATACGTACCAGGCTCTACGTTATGACTGACTGAGTGACTGATTTAATGATCATCCAATTTCTGGTATACAAAAATGTATATCGATAATATGTGTATTGATGATAATAAGGACTAATATATGATCCTATGGATTAGTATTTTTAAGATTAAAAGAAAACTGGTGTCACACCTCTCAGTTGTTGTAAGTAATAACTAGAATTCATAACTGACTTCATAGCTCTCGTTATCAGTAATATGAGCTAAAATGAGAACTTTTGACAACTGAGCGAAATGAATTTATTACATAACCCAGAAATATATGGCTTCGATAAAGCACATAGGGAAAATACTTTGAAAAAGAAATCAAAGGAGTTTTAATATGAATATCAAAGGAACATAGATTTCCAAATAGATATACGAGTCGTTTTTAACACCAAGCTTAGGAGTATTGACCAGCGGTTGAATAATGTTTATCATTTTTCGTGACCACTCTCCACATGTTACTATGATGAACAATCAACGGTTTATTTTTAAACATTTAAAGAGTAATACCCAGAAATGTTTTATTTCCGTGTAGGCTGATAAAAGCTGTTATCGATTTTGAAAATAACTTCTTTTCATTTCAGTATCTCAGCCCATATTTTACTTAACCAGATCACTTTCCTCTTAAAAAACGTTTTGCGACATTCCATATGTTTTGAATCAAATATAATACGTTTATTGAGCAGTTTTTTGATGACTGCCTTACATTACTAACGTCACTAAATCATATTCTTTTTGAAAAAACTGTCAGGTTCATCTAAGATCAACCTATCACTAATTCTACAAAATATTATTGAAAATATCAGGTTTACTTTGACCTTAGTGGTTTTGACATTTTGAATCTTTCTTGATACCTAAAAATGTCATTAAGATTCAGTTATCATCAGAATAAATAAATTTTGAAAATTAGATTTATTCTATGACGTCTAATTCTCACTAAAGCTTGAAATACCTTCCTAAAAGGACGTAAAGTGTTCTAGTTTACCGAAATACTAAGTGCCGGGTGCACTGAACCAGCGAATATACCTTAAGATTTCATAGAACTATATTATGGCATCGTAGTGTCAATGAAGTATTACGCTTTTCTGAGAAATATATCTTTCCAAACATCTTCAGTTCACAAAAATAAGTATGCATATAGCTAAATTCTTAAGTGTTATTTAAAAGAAGTGGTCGGTTAATCTACTAATTTTATCCCAGTAACTGAAACGAAGTATCAATAAACTCTCTTTAAAAAGCTTGCTTTAACTTACCTTGCTATGACAAAACATTACGATAGTATTCTGTATATGAACTATGGATAACAGACTTATATATTTGCAAACTAACTGTACTAATAATATATATCTAGAAAATAATCAGGAGCAAACCTGAATCATATGTCTACATCATAAAGAAACTCGAAAAACAATTACAGCTAGTGATAGTATGAATTTCATGTAATATTAGTTTCTAATGACAACTGTTGTAATTTTAAACGTCTATTCGTACTTTACTTCAAAAGTCACGCTCTAAACTGCCTTTCTTTCTAATGGATAGTTAGCACCATAACATATCTTTCAATTAACCAAGTAAGAATATTTTTCAAACAGAAAAACAATATCACTAGTCTGAATAACATTACAGACAATAGTTTTTGTCACTACGATATATTTAGTATATTATGGAATCCACAGTATATAGCACTTCAGCAAGTCTTTTTTATTCTTCATAGAAGTTCCTATACATTTGATAAACTATGCAGCTGAATGTAATTTTTCTAAGGACGTATAAATTTTGTAGTAGTCAATAACCTGGATACTCAGGAGCATAGGTTTCTGGTTAGGTCAGCCTTTACAACCTATTTATAGAACGGTGCATGTCCTAAATTACGGTGTTGTATAGGTTTATTGCATTTTTACTTGCATCTCTTTCCATCAGAAAATATGAAAGGGAAACCAGTGTATAAAGTGAGTGGTTTGTATCTGATGAAATAACACTTACCTGTTGTCTCCCAGATTTTAAATGTCTATCCACAACTATATTCATAATGACATTAAAACATCCCCCCATACCTTAGTATTTGTCTCCAGCAACACAGAAAATCTTTTCTTAAAAGCCCAGGGGAGTATAATGGGGAATAATATGGGACAATAGGGTAAATATAGGGATTTACAAACTGTAAAAATAGGTATCAAGTAATGGCACAAACAAGCATCCTGTTTATACAATAAGTCAGATGAAAAACTGCCCTTGATATCAACAAAACATGGGAAGATCAAGAGAAACCAGATATGAAACCTACACCAAGATGAATAACATTTGATAAAGGCTTCATTACAGAATACTCAGTAGTACAATTGTTGTGCTTTTCATATCTCCAGTCAGAGTTAATCGTCTTATATGTCTACAGATTTGCTGTAGGACTATTATCCATAGACCATCATTCAATCTGTTCTAAGGACTAATTTGTTTCAAACCAATCTTAGGGAACAAATTGGCATGCGTGCGGTGAGGTTTCCACATAATTAAAGATTTTTGGAAAGTGGCAGACCATCCGAGAAGAAAGAACAGAAAGAGGGAAAGAATATACTTAGAACAGTATTCTTCGAATAAATTCAAAGACAGAGATGTAGTTTAGAAACATATGTCAAATATACTCATCACTCTTTATGAAACGAATACTACATTATTATCCAAAGTATTTCTAAGTGGTTTTTAAGTAAACTAACTTTTAATACATCATTATTGGTAAATATTGATAAACGACGTTCCCACCAAATCGAACAAATAAGACAAGCATAATTAAATCTTGGACTCATAAAAAACTTATTTACAACACATATATCTGAGTGTTATCACTAATCCATTTAGTGCCTACAGGCTCTTTAAATTGCTCCCATATACTTGAAGAGTTTTAACAAGATAAAAGTTTTCCAGCAAACATAAAATTCAGGCGCTTAATTTCATAACTCATCGCAGAATTTAGCCTTTCCTATTATATCTTTAATTGTTTTTAGCTTTGAGGAGGTAGTTGATTGAATCTCACTAAAATTGTTTCATTAGGATAACAAATATCAAAGCAAAATTTAAGATAACAAGTGACAACTTCAATAATGTCTTGCAACGAATCACTTGTAAATCAATCAGAAACTGTCATTCTAGATATGTTTTAAGATCTCAGATGCTTTCGTAAGTGTAGCTTCTATATTTAACTTTCCTCGTTTGATAAGAGGTGCATACTTTTTAGGCTTTCAATATAAGTTGACCAAAACACGATTTATGTAATGATCAGAAATAAGATGAGCTCGTCTTGCATATTCCTACATCAGTAAGAAAAATTAAACTCAAAACAGCATCAGAATTAGTGGAGAAGTTGACTAGGTTTGGGTGATGAAAGGAAGATGAAATCTCGTGACTTAAAATTGATAAATACGATTAAAGGTGAACCGATGAGGGAAGTTGAGGCAAATTCAATGAATTTCTCTTGGTGATGAGGTTATGTGATCCGCAGTCACGTTGATATAAAGATAACTGTATTTGTTCGAGTTTTTTGGAATGCATTTCAGCGTAAAACAGTCTATAAAATCGCTCGATAAACTAGTGCTTACACAATTAGATTGTCACCATTCATATTTACAAACAAAACTACATAACCACCTCACATTTTCCTTTAACTTGAACGGTCCTGACGACAAATCTCAGAACTGATTAGTAACAAATTATTATCAAACAGATCATTTAACCAGGATTCTTGATTTACAATTGAACTACAATTAAATTATATGTTCAGCTCAAGTGAAATCGAAGATAATTCACTTTTCCTAAGAGTGATCTCCCGTTAGAAAAACATTTCCGGAATCGACATTAACTTTAATCTTTCTAATGAATTATCCTAGCTAATGCGATGTCTCATTAAATTTTATTGCATTTTTCAAACTGAGAGGTTGCAACTGTTGAAATATAAACACAGGAATAAATTATACAGTTATTTGACATCATAATTAAAAAAAAGAAAAACTAGTTAACTTGTTGATATTCAAACGGTTAGAAAATAGTAGCGTAGATTTTCAAACAAGCCACCAGTCTTTTTAGATCTTATAAATTAAAATATCTTGAAAGATCTTAGTTTAAAATTGTTATGAGTTTGTCTTGAACTGTAAACAACAACACAATGAACAGTGACTAAGACAGAAGTTTAAACATACAAATAATAAAGTATGATATAATATTATTATTTTTAATTACCTCATTTGATGGTATTGGCGGGCACCAATTTCATCTGTTTGATAAAGTGTATCGATGTATATTTGATGTCTATACAACCACTGAATTTCAATCGTAATAGTACCTGTTTTAGGATTTAATATTCCCATATTTGACCCAGTTAACTGCAGAAAAAACAAAGAACAAAAGAGAAATGCTTTTCTGGAATTCCTTTGAGTTAAAACCGTTATCGGTAAACCTCAGTTGCTTTGTATGTAATGATCTTTACTTTTCTGCTTCCCTAGAAAATTTACGATAATAAATACACTTTTGCAGCATGTACAAAATATATTCATTAGATGTATTTGAAAAAGTCTTTTTTTTTAAAAAAATACAAGAATACAAGAATTATCATATTCATAGTGCTAACTGGAGTGTCAATAACAGACAGGATTTTATCCTTTGTGTAAATTAACATATTTATAAACTCATCGGTTATGTCATCTCTAGTAAGTGTTAGAAAATGCTTACCGCGGATCAGGCCCTGTAAACTCATATGCACATTTTAAAATCTTCGATAGTACATAAGTATATAGTAAAAGTCGAATCATGAAAACCTTAATCAATAAAACGCGTGTTCATGGTATCTGACGTAACATCAGTACGTCTAACTTTATACACATTGTTTGAAAACCAATTAAAGATTTTCAATAAATCGTGAAAATGACAGAAAAAATATGATCCATAGTGTTTAACCTTAAGTTTTGTTAAGAAATCTTAGTTTTTAAAACCTTGATACTGATCATCCATGGTATCTTTCAACTGTATTTACTTCGTTAAATATAAATATTTAACAAAATGGTTGATTTGTGACAAAACATGTTGGTTGACAACTTATCTGTTTTGCCATATATACTGAGTATATATTTCTGTACAACTGGTAAATTCTTCATATATATTTATATAGTTCAATTTATGATGTTTATTGTTCCTCAGGTAACAGAAAACATGTATACAAGAAGGTAGTAATATATAGTATGATAAAATAGGCATTCAGTTTGATCATATATGAAATTTTACTCCAGGCAGAACTATTTTATTAATTACAATTCTGAAACTTTTCATATTTTCGTCCCAATCTTTATTCTCTTCTCCCTAGCTTTAAAGTGCTAAGATCTAGTTGTAAATTTACTGAATTATGATCACTTTTTACAACTGATTTTCGTTGTGTTTTTTTGACATTCCTCTAAATATCAAAACTTAAACAAGGTGTTAAGTGGATTTAGCTTAGTTATAACTTTTATTAGTAATCATGAATGGAGTTGAGATTTGTGAAAAACAAATTGATTCAGTAATATATTTTTTTCTTTACATATATGGTTTGTCAATTTAGCTCACATGAATCTTGACGACAAAATATTTTGAATTATTGTCGCCTAGAATATACTGACGTGTAAATTAAAGTCTTTCAATATAAAAACCGCTTGTATTTCAAAAAGGAAATCAATATATTTGCTCAAAATCAATAAATTATGTAATTCTGTTTCTGGCAAGAAGTGGGTGATGTTGACATATTCAAGGATTAAAATGGAACAAAGTATAATCATTCGTTACCAAGTTTTGTTTGAATATTCTTATTGAAATTTTATTTTCAATTGGTTTTTCATCATGGCTCTACATTTGTATATGTATACATACATATATAATAATGTATATAATAGTGTAGAGCCATGATGAGAAACTAATTGAAAAGAAATTTCTTCGTTCAATTCGTCCCTTCTTTATTTACCAAATGTCAAAATGGGAATTTTCACTATATTGAAATTTTATTTTTTATAAATTTATTCATGATTAAGTACTTTATCCAGGAAGTAATTTTTTTAGTCCTCTTTAGAAATACACTTACTTTCCTCATTGACAACCGATCTGTCGAATGAATGAATTTATTATAATCGCTTAGCTTGATACGCGTGGCTGATTTCTAACTTTAAAGTTTAATCATTAAAATAACGGACATTATAATCGAAACTAAAATAGCGAACTATAACGTTCGATGAATATGTAAGAATAATTGGTGCTGTAGGAGAGTCAATAAATAATACTTATTTTTTCAACAAACAATTTGTAGTTAATAGATGACACTAAGCAATAAATAAATGCATTCTGATGAAAATCGTTTAAAGAAAGTGCTTGTTTAGTTACACATTGTTTAGTGTAACGTTTTTTTCGCTGATCATATAACCTGGTTCAGATTTAATTTGTCATAATAAAAATTCATTTAAATTCATGAAATACTGGATTTGAATCCAGTATTTTGGTTTTTCTCTGAGGTATACGTTGTAATCTGGGTTGAAATTAATTTTATATTTCCTATTAAAATACAGATATTTAAGCTTCAGTTGCCGATTAGTGTGAGGAATCAACAATTCTTTCGGTTTTAAGAAAATCATTAGTTAATCTGTCCATTATAGGCTAGAGATTACTTGACAAATTAAAGATAGGCTGTTTCAATGTAACCAAATATGAATAATGTTGGCTGTGTTTCTGGAAAGATAACTATGAAACATGGTGACTGTATTGACAGTAAAATTTCATAATGACGAATGTCGAGTAAATTCAAATTACAAAATTCATTATTCTGATTCAAGGTAAGATCTTAATCTAGACATTCCAAAAATAAAGACTATTTAAAAGAACAATCGCTTTCGATACCTTTTTCTTCAACATCTACAGTTATAAATTTATAAATATTGTTACAGTACATATTGTGTACAGTATATATTATGTTAAAGTTACGGTCAAGATAGTCAGTGTTTGGGATTAAAAGCAATAGATCTCATATCGATTAAGTTTCCAATAACGACAAAATATGTTATTGATAAAGACAGAAGGTCATATAACATATTTTCCAAGAAGCCGGAGTTCAAAAGAATGTGAATTAACAAGGGACTCATTTGAAAACTGTTAACAGTTTATTTCAGAACAATTTAGTTGGACACTGAATGCAGTTAAAAGTGACAAGAAATACAAAAATATCAAACCAAATTACGATTAATTAATTCAAGTAAGATTGTGATTGCACATAAAACAGATTATAGCCTGTTTGTTTTGAGGTAAATTATTTGTATAGATTCCGAATTGGTAAAAATACATAGATATTTAGGAAAAAAGCAACATTCTAATTTATATTTTTTATTCCATATTTGAATTCCACTAGAATGTGCTATAATTAATTTGTGTTGCTCTTTTGATAGTAAATGACCACAGCTATGAAGGAGGGACATTTTTAACGATAAGTGAAGTATAGGTTGTAGTGTCATTATAATTATGAAGTTATTAGAACGGAGCCAACGAAGCTCAACAAGATTTCTTATTCCATCTGAGCCAGTACATATGTCTCAGACAACAGTTCCCAACAAAATTACATTATCATAAAAAATAATGCTGAATCTCCCCATCGAACTAACACCGAATGTTACTGTGAGTCAAATAGGAAGCTCTTATACTTGGAAATCGATATTCATATAGTTAACCTTACGTTCACGTGAAAACTGGTGGACTTTATTCATTGTATGCTTATGGTTGCGGTTACGTAGCACATGTTCATTTGACTTTATCATAGCATGTATGCATTAGGATACCCAGCGCATTTTTATTCACTCATGTGAGGTCAAACTGATAAAAAGCATAAAAATAACAAATACTTAGTTATGAATGAACAGTGATTTTCTAACCGACAAAATTGATTGGATCACTTACTTCTTGACATGTTATTTCCATGGCCACCTGTACGCTACTAATTTGACTAGCTTTCCTCAACAAACGTTCAGATATTTTATTATCTATGTCCATAACACTAGTATTACACAAACTTTGCAATAGTTCAGCACCATTATTTTTGAGTAAATATTTCGGTAAATTTTTAATTAAAAGAATATTCAAATTATTTTGCGGAACGTTTATTCCAGAATGTCGAAGTCGGTTAGATAGCAGCAATTCGTTATAGAAATCCGATTTTTTGCACGTGATTTGTAAAATTTCTTTTCCAACTGGTTCAATAACACGAGTATTGGTTCCGTTTGATTGATAACCTTGAATACGAAGCTTACAACCGAAGAGATATAGATAACCGCTTGGTATAGTGCTCCTTTCTGAGTGAGATTGTTTGCTTTGTATTTTTGACGATTTTTCACTGCTTTTCAGATATTCTGGTTCATGTTCCAAATCTGGTTTCTGCTCCGGAACCAGCCCTACTCTCACTAAACGTGATGATCTATTCAGAAACAGCCTCCATGGAAGCGAAAATGGATCCATAATTAGACAACTGTCAACATGATTAAAATTGTCAAGATTATTGATAGGAAAATTAACCACCGTTAATCGTTCATAAAATATCATTTCTAATGTGATACAGAATTTTGATGAAACTGTGCTTAAAAGAAAAGTGACTGCTGATTGATGAGTACGTGTTTTACCTTTTTCCAAGTATTCACACGAATTAAATTTCAAAATATTATTTTGGCTTTTTTCTCCTTGTTTTAGCTGTTGTTGTTTTACGACATTTGTTCGTTCATCAAACTTGCAACAATGTGCTTTCAATGGCCATCCTTGTGATCCTATTAAAAACTGCATCAACCCGGTATGACATTCACCTGGTAAATAGGCATTACACAGTAGTCGTGTCCACTGTGTTCCCAGTGGTTTCTCAGCATTATAATATGTGTAATTATCTGTCTTATGCTCTGACTTTTTTGTCAAGCATATTTCCACATCTGCACATACATCATGATAATTATCACTGTCAAAAGTTAAATTTCTCAATAAGTCACGATATGGTTCAATGTCAATAGTAAGAACCCATGTATCACCAGCATATGAAAAGTGATCAGTTTCAAAATGAATGGTATCTGGAAATGTGATTGTTTCATTATCCATTCGCCTTAATACAACAGAACCATTATTATGAGTTCTTTTTCTGTCTTTTTTAAGTAACAGATGGTTTGTGGGATCTTCAACTTGGTTCGCTTGTAGTTTTATGCATATATGTGGGTTACGTAACCCCAATTCTATAATACACTTACCGTCATCAAATAAAAAACGTTTTGAGGATAATGTAGATAAATCTATGACATTTTTACGTCCATGTCTGCAACTATCTTGTGTAAATGTACAATTTGATTTGGAAAAACACTCATTCTGACTGAAAACATTTCGATTTTTTATTGTGAATTCAAAATCTAACGTAATAGTTTTCCATTGTGTTGGACGTTTAGTGACATTATGGTCTGATTTATTAATTGGTATCTGTGATGATTTTATGAACATAGTTTCACAATTTTCGGATTTCTGCGTAATCAACTCCAAGTAAAAACCTAGATGAGTATCGGTCCTTTCGAATCTTACAAACCATTCGTGTTCAGCATATTGGAATACTTGCGTCTCGACATAATTAACTAAACCACATAAAAGATGTGGTAGCAAGAGAAATGTAAATATTTGTGAATTTGCTGCATCATTTAAGTGAACGTAGCGATGTAATGGACCAAAACATATACTTCCATCACCAAATTTTTTTTTTCTCTTGTTTATCTCGGATTTTTGTGATTCAAATGAATAAGTTCCTCGGGAATGAGGTAGATTTGTCATAGATTAATTTAATAATGAACGTTAAAAGCAGATATTAAACCATACTTTCTTATTGTAAGTATTTTGTCAGAAATATCACAGTTTATCGAGTTTGTATGTCAATCCCAAATCTCAAATTCTAGTTGGCTAAGATTTGATTGGACCAACAGTGAAGTGAAAATCATTGGATGATAAAATTTGTCCTCATATAGTAAGTTACTTTATAAAAGTAAATAAACTTTACTCATGATCAACAAATCATTATGATAGTCCCATAGTTTATTTAAAGTGCAGAAGTTTATTTGTATATACTCACTATCATTGTGTTAAGTATAGATTAGTGAATGATGTTAAATATAGCAGTCACTATAGTTTTAGGTATTGTTTAGTTTACAAAGAAGGTTTATTTATGAACTGTAACACAACTTTTCAAAAGCCCTCCGAATGTACTGGCATAAATATAGCATGAATTAATAACTATCCAAGCATTGTCCAACAACAGAAATAGCAGTTATGAGAAACTATAATTCAGTAATACAACAGATTTCTTGTTTCACAGCTTTCCTATTCAATCTGATAGTATTCGTCCGGCATAATAAACATTTTTAGTAAATAAGTATAAAATCTTGGATATTGTATGTTCTCAATGCAAAAAAAACAGACAATCTTTCAGACAATGCTCAAATTAAACGACTTAAAGCATTTCTCTTAAATGCTTCATATATAAACAATCCAACCAGCCAACCGATAAAAAAGTGGAAGAAAATAGATAATCAATTAACACATGGTTATTTTTGTCATCAATTTGTTAAGTCAACATATTCATTCCTAACTTGTCGATAGTGTTGCTAATCTTGGGAGATTTAACGACATTTCTCGATTTTACGAACTTTTAGAGGCAACATGTTAATTGCCCTTTAAGTTCGATAGGTTTCGTCATTTAATATACAAATATTGAGTAAGAAAATGCAAATGAACTATAAGGACCACTATAATCTGGAAGCTATCACATTTAATCTACATATAAATTCATTTATACAATACTTAGTTTCAAAATAATGATAATTTACATAGTTGAAAGTGGTCTTTTTATTAAAATATGGAGGACAGGAGTGAAGCAAATTAAACTAATTCCACAAACTTAAGCATTTGATTTCTGTAGGTTATAAGATATCCCAATATGTTACTTTATTTTACACTCAGTACAGTAATGTATGACCAGAAACCGGTTGCACAGTAGTAGTTACATTTCCGTGAAAAAGGGAATTTATGGGCCATAAGAAATGTGAGTTGTATTAATCTAAAATTTGAAATACGATGTTATGCGAATGATAATCATGAATTCTGGACAGAGGTAACTTTTGTCATAAAAATGATTAAGTAGAAACATTTCTGTTAACTCAATTACATAATATAAAGAAGTAAAGGCATAGAGGATAGATGAGCCTAGCAAACAGTTTTGAACTAGACTTTTTAGACCTTTGATAACTACAGACAGTTGCCACAGACTAAAAACACTGTTACGATAAAAATTATATGTAAATCTTCCAACGAAAATGTTGTTGGTGATATTCAAAAATCCATTTGGAGAAGTCATTCTGTTTTCTAGAAATTTACAGTAAAAAATAAACAACTTGAGTGATTAAGTTTCTAAATGTACAAAAAATTTCAAAATTCTATCTGTCCGTATACATTTTGTAGATTATTTTTCATCTAAAACAAAGTTTGAACTCAGAGGTTATAGCCACTTCACATAGTCTCTAACTTCAGCAATATGTAGTCATATGCAACAACGTAGTTTAATTATTGTAAATTTTCATACGTCCTGAGAACAGCAAAAATTGAAATAGTTTATCTGGTAGATAAGATTTTGAAATCCTGGATGGCAGAAGGACTTACGATGAAGTGCAAATGTGGTTGTAAAAGACATGAATTAGTAATGTTCATATAAATTATATATAAATTATTATTATTTAGGACTGATTAGTCCACTTAAGTATGCTGCATATTAAAAGTGAATAAATAAATGTGGCACCTTTCCGAAACGTCACACAATAAAGAGAAATTCAATCGAGTTATCGAAATTATTTTATTATATTATATAGCTGCAGAATAGGTAGGAAAAGTTTTGCTATGCTTCAGATCCGTTGAAATTCATCTGAAAATCTCCGTGAACATTCAAAACTGTTATTTACATGACATTATGACGATATACACTAATCATTCATGTGATCGCTTGGGAGGTTTTCAAAAACAGTAATGCAACATCATGATCAGCTAACTAGTTTAACCAGTAATGCAAAAATATCATTCTAACATAAACATGTTATTTAATGTAGACTAACTTCACCTATTTGAGCTCTAATACTCTTGTTTTTGATATTTCACTATAATCAAATACATAGATTCTAAACAGTTTCCAACATTAATGAATACTGGGTATTGATTTAATCCATCATGTAGTTTTAGTTTTGTTTAAGATATATCAACCTTATATAATTGGATCCCTTATGCTCGCACTTACACTTGAATGGTCAGCTACTGCCTCAAACAGCAGTGATTAATCCACTAGAACTGATTCACTATAGTTACTAACTTGTTCAACAAGTATAATAATTATTATAACAGGAGAATAATAGACAAATATGACTGAAAGATAGAATAATTGAATCATCTCAGCCATACAAAATACTTCTTTTGTCTGAATGAAAATCCAACTCTTTGAAAATGGAAAGCTGATTGAAACGTCAACCATAAAATAATTTACTCTCCGTTAATTTGATAAGCTTCACTCGAAATTTTTTACAGTAGATGAAATAACTCATTCTTTTAAGTGGTTAAGCTATTTGTGAATTTCTAATGATACCACTGAGGATTTTTGAATAACTGTAAAGCTAGAAATGATTATACTTCTGTAAACGTTGTACATAACTGTTCAGCATACAGTAGACACAAAGTAACTCGTAATCATTAGTTATATGATATATGAATGTCTTTTAATGGATACTGATTATCATAGTTTGAAAACAGCTTCACTGCTTTTTGTATCAATAGTTTGAGTCGGAAATATTCGTTTCTGTGCACACATACACATACATGTCGCTTATAAATCAATTTGACCGAAATCATATGACATTGACTTGTTCAGACCTGTTTTTTGATCGATCGCACATAATGTTCTTGCGTTGTTCCTTTGTACTATTTATACTGGGATTAAGTTTGATTTGGTTATTTATTCTATAAAAAAGTGGCTTACACTGAGACACGAAACGTCAGGAAATCTAATGTTTCTACTCATTGGTATATTACAAATTTATCAATTTATTTACAATATTTGTTTCTGTTTCACCACTGTGCCAACTATAAAGTCCTACATATAAGTCAATACAGTAAATAACAGGCTAACATTCCATGGGAAATACGTCGTGGACCTTTTGAACAGCTTTAGTTCCACAGAAATCCGAACTGGTTGATTACCTCAAAGTTTTTTTATTAAGGAATGTTTCTTTAGTTTTTTTCTGAAACATGAGATGTTAAGCGCTTTCGGTCTAACAAATTCAATGTTTCTAATATTACTAGAGTGTGATGAAACTTCTACTGATAAACAAGTACATTTATCAACAGTGTTTAGCTGATTGTCTATTTGGAAGGCACAATTATCAGGAAGGTCAATATTTTTATTATTTTCAGCCCGTTATGTTTCATTATCAGTAACTTATAGTTCCATATGTCATCAATCTTAAAAGATCACTTTTTAAACATTTTACTCCCACTAAAATTTATCAACGTAGTATCAAGTGTTAAGCCCTAACTGTTTCATGATCTAAATTATTTTTGACCAGTCTGAGGTTCAACAATAGTTGTGAAATACTCTTTAATTCGTTAAGTAATACACCAGATCACAGACACACTAATTAGCGAGCCTCTTAAGACCTGAGAGCACTAAGCATTTGTTTCAATGTGGTTTTTTACGCAGCAATGTGGACTGGCAGCTCTACATAAACCGTGTACCTAGTTTGAAATTTTTCTAGACGGGATATTGGTTAACCACGAAAAAATTCTTCAAATTGAATAAAACAGTATAACTCACCTATCTAAATGATTCATTAATTCAACGAAATTTTAATAGCGCGTCAAAGATGTTTTGGAAGCTGAACTTGACGGGTACATCAATTGTATTTTTTCATCGTTTTAACTCTTAAGAATCATTCAAATAAATGAATGAATATTTCAACCGTGAAATTAAAATTCATCTCATGCGTATTAATTAAAATCCGTCGTTTCAGTATTTTAGAAAACTGAGTCAGGTTTATCAATATACACTTAGTGCAGAAGGAGAGTAATTTAAAGAAACAATATTCCTTAAAACATTCAAAGTAGGTACTAAAATCGGATTTATTGATAAAAAGAAGCCGTTCTGTTTTCTAACTTATCAGCTGCTTTGTAGTAATGAATGCGTTGAAAACAGTATCGAACGCCTTACAATAAATTATTGATAATGTTTCTAATACGGATTACTATTTAATTATGTCTTGCTTTATCGAATACAGAAGTGAGTTCTGAAATGTCGGAGTTTATGCTTATAAGAGATGATTACATTTCTGAAAATTGCTAGTTCATTCTAATTCCCTTTATTCTTGCATAAGCACGTTCATCTCTCTTAACAGTTATCAGTTCACAATAATAATTAAAATGTAATGAAGACGTTATCTAATTACTTCCGACTACACTTCCAGCTACTAGATCAGACCTAAACAATGTGGTGAAGATATTTTGTCCCAAAAATAGCTTGTTATCCGAAACTAATTAGTCTTATTCAATAATGTTTCAAACGTTTTTTGTATCAAATTGTTCATCTGAAGAAACCTTAATTTAAACATATATTTGCAAGCATTTAATACCCCTGTACCATGTTTTTGAAACTAACTTCAAACGGATGTTTCACCAATGAGAAATGTGATATACGGATAGAGAAACCATTAGATGTAAGATAAAAGGCGAAAATATCCAGTATTTTGGTCAGAGCCAGTGCGTAATACGTTATGAATCAACTTAATGAGAACATGATAGGTGTATTCGGATGCCTCCATCAAAATACCATTCTTTTA